TTTCGACAAAACAGCCGAATTCACGGACGCTGCTCACCCGACCATCGTAAATGTGACCAGGCACCGGCTCGCTGTCCAGTGGTGGTTGCGGACTGCGGCGGCTTCGACGCCTGTCGATCGACCGGCTGCGAGGAGACCGCCGATTGTGGGAGTGAGACCTTCGTCTGCGAGAACGTGACCGAGAGCGCGAGCGAGACCGCTCCCGGGGTTCTCTCCGCCGTCGATTACTCTTAGCAGCGGGGGACGAATCTCTGTGCCTCCTACTACTGTGGGTTTTATCCGCTTCCTTCGTCGGTTTCTGCTCGTCCTCCTTCCATTTCGGAATTAGACTTTCCAGCTGAGCCATTACCTCGGACACGGACTCATCTGGCATCGCCAGAGCAGGAAGCTTCTTTTTCAACTCCTCGCGATCACTGGCATCGGTCAGCGACAAATCTTCGACCCCCGAAGTATTCTCCTTCGAAGCATACGTATTCGGCTGCATGTGCTGAATGAGCCGAAGCAGATTGGCGATGAATGAATCGTCGAATTCAGCGCCATTCTCTCCCAGTGCTGCCTTAAATTTATCAAACACTGGATTCTTCTTCGCAAGGTCGATAATAAATTCAGCGAGATCTTTATCGTCAAGTCCAAGATGGTTCTCTAGTTCTGTAACTATCTTATTTACAAGGGATAAATACTGCAACTTTTCCAAATCGTCCATTTTTAAGTTACCATTGCTAACGGAGAAAACAACAGTACGACGCAAAAACTTGATAGCCAGGTACAATTAACTTTGCATTATGCGTACTGCACTTTGTTGTTTGCGCTAAAATGAAAGCAACATATTATTAAACGTTTCCGTAATATTAATGTACTCCATGCTGCAGGAAACCGAAGCCTACAGACTTAAAATTATTAAATATTCAAATATCTTGGCAAAATAAGATAAACGTTAGTCATACTGGATTAAAATGGCGAAAATTCACAGTAGAAAGAAGAAAACGTATTTCTTACTTTACAACGATACTGCAGTAGCGTAGAACAGATTGAAATCTAACTGCGGTATTGCACCATGCCCTTACAAATAGTCACTTATGGGTTCCATTTAAGCCGTTCAAGTTTTCGTGGCATTTATGAGCGTGCAGTATCGGTTGAATCAGAGTATGTGAATGTCCAAACACATTAACCACTATCCGCAGGCGAACAATCAAAATAAATAAAATAACGCCAATGTTTTGCGGTTGTTTCTCAGAGTAGGAGCATTCGATGAGACCGTTGCATATATGGTGGGGACCGGATTGAAAGGTACAACGGATAACTTTCGACTTGAACATTGCCTTGTTAAACCAAAGTAAAGGAAGCAGTCATGCGTTGTATTTCATACTGGTCCCTTGAATACCATGAAGCCGTTGCCTGCTTAAATAGTTTCCGTATGCGCCTAGAAACAATAGGGCGGTGCAACGCTACGATAATACTTTAATTTGTGTAACATTACCACACTGTCGGAGATAAGTTTTTCTTCTTTACACTATGCATTTTTGCCGTTTCATTATAGTATTACCATTATTAAGGCTATATATGCAACCGCGGTATCGAAAGCTCCCACTATGGGAAGCTATCCTAGATCATCATGGCCTTTTAATTTGTTCAGATGATGGGAAATAATTCAGTCATTTTTTCAACTTGCAACGCTTCACCAGGCTGTTCTTCTGCCGCAAAGAACACAAGGACTTCCATCTTGACCAGTTCTCCGTTT